TTATTGGCATGAAAGTGTCAAGAGACAAAATTGCCAAAGCATCAAAATGTAATTTGTCTGAGTGTTTGGACATTGCACAATAGCAGTAAATTGAATAGTATTAGAAGTTTAAGATTGATTACATAGTAATTACACACTGTATGTATGAATTGCAGGAACATCCTGCGTGTATGGATGCTTGGGTATGCTGTGTATATCTTGGTTATTCGTTTCGCGTGTTGTTACATATTGTTGGGCAGGGGCAGTTGCTGTCTCCTTTCTTTCCCACGGCCATGTACACACATACTCTTTCTCATCCACAAGGCCAACATGTAGCACGTTTAATGTGGTTACTTCACCAACCTGGAGGCATGCATGCTTGATGAATACATACACAGGGAACACACTGGTGTAGGGATCACTGGTAGATGGATTCGGTGGTTTTTTTTGTGCGTATCTGATAACATATTTGTGCAGGAGTTTGTCCTGCATTTGAAATGAACGTCCTCCTTTTGTTTGTTCCCTGCTCTTTAGCGTTCTTCCTCTCATTCATTTTTTTTCCAGGTTCCAGGTGATTTAAGCCAGACGTCAGATGACCCTAGCCTGTCAGATTTTGAGACGTAAGAACATTTCTCTATATCCCCCGTTCAACGCATCTTTCTCTCACCCCTTTTTATCCTCTCATAGTTTGATGTCTCTCACCCCTTTTTCTCCCTTTGCACTGTTTCCTCTGAGTTTGCAACTAAATTAGATTTTCAGGTGTTTTACCAGAGTGAACTGCAAACAATGGTAGCTGTCCAAACACAGTGCTGACATACTGTTAACGTTGCCGCTGCTCGGGATAATGATGATGATAATGAAGACGGCGGTGAGAGCTGTTTGTTGTTTGTGTCACTCAGGGCTCATCGCGCTCTCATCAACGTATGGATCCCCTCTGTGTTCCTGCAAGGCAGAGCTGCCAACGCCTACCACGTCTATCAGGTACACACAGCCACATTAATATCTCTGTCTGAGCCACGCGCTGTGTTTACCAGGCAAAACGAGTCATTTCATCAAAATATACCGATTTAAACATTGACTTTGATGTCTGATGTACAGACTGCTGTAGTTATAAGACAAAAATAACGTTTTAATTGGAATAGAAACGGTGGAAGGAAGTAATGGACAGAACAAGAAGTTAAAAGTTCATGGAGGCACAGAGCGAAGGAACAAAATGAGAAAGCTCTGAAATAATTACACATTCGCTCACGTGTGCATTAATAGCTCATCATCTGTTTTTATTCAAATTGTTTTGTTTGAAAGTTTTTTAATACCGAAAAATCAGTTTTCATTGGTTTGTGCCCGCCATACAAGAGTACTAGAAAAAAATACACTGAAATGAATAAAAACTGAACAGAAACGAGCAGATCCACTGTGTAAACAAAAAGTAAAACGGAAATAAAAATAAAAACTAGTCAGAAAATACAAAACTGTAACAACTCTAACAGTCCATAACAGAAACGAATGCTTCAGCTGGGATTCGTTGACCACATAAATCAATACTGTGCCTCATCAGAAAGAGGGGGAGATGACTAAGGTGGCATACATCAGGAAAAAAATCGCATAGTTCGCATTTTTGTTGAAACTAATTATCCGATGAATCTGGGATCATTTCTAATGTTGGTACATGGTGGGCGTCTGTACCGGATATCAATCTAACATGGTCCTGGTTTCATCATCATCACATCTGAACTCCATCTTCAGGAACATAAAGTTACTGAGCTTCTGCAATCATACATACGAGTATAAATCCTGTGACAAATTCAACCTGTGAGTTGCTCTTTAAGCTTAGAAAAGGTTTGTCTAGAAACGCCAAGAAATAAAAGGCTAGCTGTCGCTTTTTTGGGGGGCAGTCTGTGCTCCAAGATGGCTGTGTGTCCCTCGTCATCGATTGGTGCCCTGTCAGAACTGTTGCAGACCTAAATAAGTCCCAGAATGCTCACTGCGCTTCCCACTCGAGCCTGCCATTTCTGAGTTTGCAATCAAGTTTGGTCAGAACTTTAAGCGTTTACACGGATGATAATAAAGCAGCTCCACTTAACTAAAATAGTGTTTCCAGAGCTCTGTGCCAGGTACTTATCTAAGTAAGGTGTGTTGGGAACTGGACTCGAGAGCAGCTTAACAAACCGAACTGCTGCTGCTTCTTGTATCTGTCAAGTTATCGAGCAAAGTAGACAACGGCACCTCATTCCCTCTGTGGCTGTTTTACTGTGTCTGTCACATTAACAAGGTGTTACACCTCAGCTCTCTCGCCGTGGCTGTCCCCTGCTTCCCCCATGTGAGACAGAAACACACACATGCTCAGACATTAAGTCCCATGGTTGAGCTTCATCAGACAGACAAACTCACACACACACACACACAGACACACACACACCTGCCTGCTCAGGTGTTTACACAAACCTGCACTATTGGAGATGAGACAAAAACTGATGCGCACACACACACACAAGTGCTGCTACAGTGGACACCTTCTTCACGCTGCACAAATACACCTGTCAGACAGAAAAGTGCATGTGTGTACACACTGGTATTATCTGCTCTGTAGCCAGGAGGTACAGCTGTAATGTTAGTCAGTGAAAACCATATGGGACAGGAAGAGACGGGTGACACATCCTTAGCTGTAACGGATAGGCAGGAGTGACTGGCTACCATCTCAGCTTGGCTCAACTTATACATAATAGATGTAAATTTCCAATTCAGGACTCAAACTTTTAGCTGTGTGACATCTTTTTGAGCCAGACTGTCTCCGTCCTCTCAGCAGGACTGATGCGCGACAAAGGCAAATGAGACGCATTGTTTTAATTTCTCTCCTACCTGCTCGCAGCTTCACGCCGCACTGGGCAGTGCCTTTATTCTGCATTATGCATGCGCAGTAATAAATGTACCACCAAACACATGATGGCAATAATTTAGAATTATCATTTGCTGCTAGTAAAATGCTCAGTGGAAAGTGGCCCACATTTAAACTGCTGTGCAGTGTTGGGTGAAGTGAGTCGTTCAATGCAGTTGGTAACTTTTATATTCGGGTGACTGCTTTGTAATTGTGCTCCCATAAAGGCAGGTTGTTGTTATTTTTGCCAGAAATAATTACAGACTGTTAAGCACTACACCCAGTTTGAGCCTCTCGTTTCTGAATATATTGTTCAACAAACAATAAAAAAAGTCGTAGTCTTTACGAGAGTCTAAAGATATTTTTTTTTGCCTGTGGGAATCCCACGCTTTCAACTGAATGCGATGTAATGGTTGGTTAAAAGTAGGTGAACCGCACACAGGCATGTACAGCGCTGCAGGCAATTATTAGCATCCACCTGCAGTTGCGGATTTATGGATGGACTCCAGTATTGAAGCTGAGCATTTTCCATGTGTTGTGCTAATTTAGCCTAATTTCTCCATCTGAAAAATGGTCTCTGAGAGACTACTGTCCAGCCCTGGAGCTGGTATAAAGCACAACCCATCTGGTGTATTGGATACTTCCATTCACAGAGCTATATTCGTCTAATGGCTCCCTGTGGAAACGGCTTTTGTTCTTAGACAGGTTAATGGATGGCCAAGGTTACTGGAGTCATTGTTGTTAAGGTGAGGCTGTTGTGGTGATTGAACACTGAGCCAACAGTCTTAAAGACCTGAGGGTATCATGAGGAAATGGCAGGGGTCTCTTTAAATTACCCTCAAGCGAGTGCAAAGATTTTTTTGGGTCTTTTTTTCCTTCATTGTTGCACTCGCGCACACACTCATATGCTTGCAAAATTGAACCAATGATGCGAGCAATGAGCCATAGCCAAAGCTGGCTTTTGTAAGGCTTGGAGAGTGAATGGGATTTCAGAAGCCTGAGCCCGAGTTAGGTCACGGCAACCTTGTGGTGAAAATAAGCTCGCTAGGAGCTCTACACTGCTGCTAAACCCATCCAGAGAGGTGGAAGGGCTGATCTAACCATCGCATCTCATAGCGCGTCTGCCTCCTTGCTTCATTCTCACTGTCCTCCTTTTCAGCCTGCATATCTGTCTCACTCCCCCTGCCAGATTGCATGCCATTATGACAGGGGTAAGCCTACTTGTACTCCATTTTCGTCTTTGCATGTCCTCAGAGCCCCTTTTTTCCCTTCCAAGATTTCTAAAATGACTTCCATCTGAAGTGTGGTACGGCCATTGGACAGACAGACAGAGATGAAGAGAGAGACTGATGGATTTGCTCCATTATAAGTTGGGTTCTGCTCTTTGTGCGCCTCTGGGCCTTTATTCTTCCATCATTCCGTCCCTTTACTTTCCCCTTCTGAACTCATAATGAGAGAATTATACCGGCCGTGGCAAATCACTGACTCGCTCCCACACAATCCCAACAATAGAGGCTATTAAAAGAGAATGAGAGAACGCATGGTTTGCACACCGGCAGCGAGCACAAGCGGTGATTTCTGTGTGCGCGTGAACGTCTGTGCTTTTCATTACCTGTGTATCCTGGACCAGCATTGTGTTGTGAAAAGAGCATCAGTCAGAGGCTGATGAGGAACTCTCCTCCAAAGAAGTGTCTGTGCTGGCTGCTTGTGTGTTATGGGATCCTTGTGCTTTCAACAAGGCTGTCAGCGAAAAGTAGAAGAAACAAACATTCTGGGAAAGACATCTTAGAACTAAATGTAAGGTATTTGCCTCTGGAGATGGCGGTGTCAGTGGTTTGGTAAATTGGTCCGCCACTTTTTGTCTGCGGCTTTCATTGGACTGTTTTTTCTTTTCTTTTTCTTTTTTTTGTAATGGAGAGACTGCTGTTACATTTAACAATGCCAGATACATCAGAGTAGACGGATTAAAACGTGTGGACCCAGGCAGCCAAATACCTGCAAAACTAATGGCGCACCTTTGTCATTGCTGAAAGCACTAACTTTGTGGATTCTTCACTGGTTGCCTAGTTACGGGTCCTGACCAAGAAATGTTCAGGGACATAACACCCTATTGATCTTTCAATTCAAAAAAAGTTACTGTGCCTTTTGGAGAGTTTACTTAGGCCAGATAAAATAAGTGTTGTTGTTTTCAATGCAGTTCCACAAATTAATCTAATAGGATGTAATAAAGATGTGTCATGATGGGTCAGGGTATGAGAGCAGGGGCTATAGAGAAATAACAAACTCATCGCATGCATTGCATTGGGACATTCTGACAATCATATTTGTTCTCTTGCAGTCTGCTGTGCAATCTGTGAGGTATCAGATGATGCAACGTGCTGCACACTACGACTGTGCCATACTATGCCTCTTTTTGCAATAAAGTTTTTAACACATCATTTTCATGGCAAAGTGTGACAAGAGTGAAGCTGGGGAGCTTTTAGCCTTAGGTTAGGCGCCATAGCTCATTTTTTGCTCACATACAATAAAAGATAAAAGCCTTGTGCTATTTAGCTCAAAAGTATTTTATGTTATTTCTTGTCAGACACTCTATAGTAGTCCTGCTGAGAAGCTTACTGCTGTGCTGCTGTCTGATGGGAGCTTTCAGTTTGTTGATTATGAGGCGTCATACCTGTGGTGTAGATGAAAGATATGCTCTTTGTATCACAGCAGCATTTACCTATGATAAAGTTTTATCTGCTAACAAAGCAGAAACGGGTATTATCATCATGAGCTGACTTTTTTTCAGTAAAGCAATAACTTCAGTAAATTTGCATGGGCTGTGACATATAATTGCGAAAGCTAGTCTGGGACCTTTCCAACCAAAATGCTGAAAATGGGAAGTTACACCTCAGTTTACATCAAAAGAAGGAGAAAAGTTGCATAAAAGGAGCTTTTTAAACACCACTTTTGTAACTCCAAAGGCAAGAAGATTCTTAAGTTGTTTTTTTTCTTGGGGTTTTAGCTGGAAATAGTCCAACAAATGCACCGTTCACTTCAAAGTTTTTGAATATAGCCCCTCATCATCTTCCTTTCCAAATCTCTTTTTAAAAATTGCTCTTTCTGCTTT